GCTGCCCTGGGTCAAGCAGACATGTGTCCTTGCACCGCTGTGCAGGTCTTCTGTCTCCCTGCACATGAGCCCCAGCCCCTTCCCCACCCACATCCTCTCCCGGAAACCTGCTCAATGCGCCGTTCGCCTCTGCCCACAGCCCACAGCCTGCGGGGGATCTGCTGTCATCGGAGACTCCTGAGCGCCGGTCTGGTCCACACGGCCTATGGCCCTGGCACTCGGGACTGCGTCCTCACGCGTGCCCCTCACGGCCGTGGTCAAGGCCGCGTCAGCACCATCAGCTCCTCTGCCCACAGCTCGGCGTCCTCACCGTGGCTCCAGCCCCCCGCCCTCAGGACACCGCCCACTGTCACACTCCCTAACCTGCAGCTGTCCCCAGCACAGCATGTGCCCTTCCACCCTCCCAGCACGGCACAGGATCCAGCGGTAAATGATCCAGCGAGTCCGGCTCGCTGTTCTTCATCTGCAGGGCAGGGGCATCGCGGCGCTCAAAACCCTGTCCCAGGAACATAGCATCTGGGCCCTCGGCCAGGGCTCAGAATGACTGCGTGAAGTAGAAATGAGTCTGCCTTTTAGAGGGGCTGCTTGCAAAATACGACGTGCACCGTGTAAAATGTGACCGTGACCTGGGAATACACCTGTGAGCGGCGGAATACAATGAATGGTACCAGCAAATAGCAATTTTACCTGAGTCCTAAAGGAGAAGAGCCCACTTCTGGACCTCTACGCATGGCATCTTCACCAAGCAACAGCCTGCTGTTTTGTCATTTCAGAATGAGGAACTAGGTCTTAGTGGAAAAAAAAAACTGGTTCCTAAAGGTCAGAGAATCAAGAGGCTGAAGTCTGCATTTTACTTCAAATCCATCTCTTGGACAGCACCCCTTGAGCTGACCTCGCAGAGGTGACAGCAAATGGAAAAAGACAGGATACACCAAGAAACGATGGTGCGCACCCCGAGGGGGACTTGGGCCCTGTGGACTTGTCCCCAGCCCGGTGTCTGCATTTGGCACGTCCACGTCAGCACGATTAACACCCGGGGTGATGCCACCCCAAAATGACACAACAGGGAACAGTGCAGCCGGCAGGGCAGGGCAGGGCTGGGCTCGGCCGGCTCCTCCGGGTCAGCTCAAGACCTCGGGCTCCTCCCACCCCGGCCCAGCCTCAAGCAGAGCCCCAGGACTGAAGGGAGGGGAACTCACCGCTGTGGGCCCAGAGCCCCAGGTCCAGAGCAGACACTGAAACACAGAGACCTGGTGAGAGGCGTCCGCCTGGGACCCAGGGACCCCGGGACCCCAACCCTGGGCTCATCTTCCCCCCTCCCGCCACCCTCCTCGCTCCCCTCAGTGCTCACCAAGTCCGAGCAGCAGAGCCATCCCAGGGGGCATGGCGCCTCCTCAGCAGGTCCACAGCGCTCCGCTCCGCTGGCGGTCACACCGGCCAAGGGGACTCACCGGGACGGGATGGGCGGCCTGGGCCCGACTCCGGGTCACAGGGCGATGACACCAGCTGCCGGGCAGAAGGGGCACTGCTCCAGCGCAATGCCGGGCCCTGCCCCTAACTGGACTGGGCCTGAATTCCTCTGCGGGTTTCCGGCTTCCAAAGCTGGCGCTGTCCCTGCCTTTGGTGCTGAAAGGAGATGTCCCAGAAACACAAGTGACCCCAGCCTGGACCTGGAGCAGGGCACCCGCAGGCACCCAGACCTGCTGCTGGAAATGAGGGTGTGCTGCCGTGCACAACTGAGAGCCTGGGGCACCTTTGAAATAACAATTCACAAGGTCAGTGCAGGCTAGGGGCCTCTGCTCACCCTCTTTTCCCTGGTTTCATCACCCCCTCCTTGGTGAGAACTGTTTTATCACACCCCGAAAATCCCAGAGATCACACCCGTGTCTTCCGATTTTGGTTCAGCGTCACCCTGCAGCGAGTTCTCATTTACCATTACTTCAATCGTCTGCCTCCCCACCTTGGAGCACGTAACTGACACATCGTGCCTGCGATTAACTGCCCTTTTCACAACAACAGTATCTCCTATCACGCTGGAAATCGAGCTACAAGCTGAAATGATGTCTTCATTTTTTTCTGTTTTCCTTCCAATGCTCTGAAAACCAAGTCACTTATCCTAGTTCTGAAAAAACTAAACTCTTGAGTGTAGGACCAAACACTGACTCTTTGAGGCAATCACCTTCCATGCCCCCACATAGCATAGTTTAGAGTCCGTGAGAGTCACACATCACTGACCCTAAGACAGAGACCGTCATGAAAGTTCTGCCCTGTGCCTGAGTCAAACCATCTTTTTTACTTCCCTGCCATTAAATCACTCTTCTACCGTGAATAATCATTTGTCCTGAAAGGAACAGGAGATCTCTAAATGGCAGAACAGACTATGCTGCTCTTCACAGCTCAGAAGGATGACCGCATCCGTTTCCCACATCCCTACCGCCCAGGTACAGCATACCAGGTCCACGTGCTCCACCAGCCTTGCACTTGCCAGGCAGGCCCCCGAACTGCTGAGCTAAATCCCTGGATATTTGCTTTTATTTTTTTTTTTAACTTTTTTTGTAAAACATTTCACTATGTAATTGAGGTGGTCTTGAACTCCCTGTGTAGTCGAGGCTGGCCTCAGATTCACAGCAATCCTCCTCAGTGCTGGGATTACAAACGTGCACCACCACACCTGGCTCTACTAACTTTTATTTTTGACTTAGTAAGCTTTTCATTTCTAGGATTTCAACTGGAGGCTAACAGCTATTACTATTTTGTTGTTGTTTGTTTGTTTTTTTTTTGAGACAGGGTCTCACTACATAGTTGAGACTAACCTGGACCTCACTATGCAGCCCAGGATGGTCTGAAACTCACAGCGATCCTGCCTCAGCCTCCCGAGTGCTGGGATTACAGGTGTGCACCACCACGCCCGGCTATTACTATTTTAATAGAAAATTTTCATTGCATTATTCTTTCATATCTTGCATTATCTTCCTTACTTCATTGTGTTATTTGTATCCTCTTTTATTCACTGATCATTTCCCCTTTGATAAGACTGGAATCAGTTACTGTAGAAATGTTAACTTTTGGAAGAGTCTTATTGCCTTTTTTCAGATGTCTCAAGTATCTATCAAGACTGCACATCTGGGCCAGGTGTGGTGGCCCACACCTGTAATCCCAACACTGGGGAGGCTGAGGCAGGAGGATGGCTTTGAGTTCGAGACCAGCCTGGACTACACAGTGAGACCCTGTCTCAAAAAACCAAAATACCCATTTGTATAAGGGCCTCTTGGGGGCAAGCTTCTGATGGTGTGCTGCGTCATTCTGAGTTTACTTCTAAGTGGATTTTACTGCATATTTCGCCTGTGGATTCTTTCTTTGTGATCAGTGGGAGTCAACACAGTACACACTGTGTCAGAGCCTGAGTGAACCTTTCTCTGCCCATCTCACAGGAGCTGGGGTCTCTGGGCTAGGGTCAGTGTGTGTGCTATAAACAGGAGCATCTGAGTGGCCCTCTGTGAATACGATTTTGTTTGTGAAAAGCAGCCTGAAAGGTTGTGGGTATGACCTAAACTTGGGTCCTGTTGTTAAGTGTGGTGTTTACAAAAGTTCAGTTGTTTCTCCCTTCTCTTGCTGTGAGGGTGAAGGATTAGAAACGGGACTTCCAGCTGTGCCTCCCTGAGGCCTGTTCATTGGCTGAGGGCTCTTACTTCCCTTATTTAAACTGAAGTAGATGCCCCATTCTGAGAGGGCTGTGTCATGGCTCAAGCAAGGAGCAATTTCTCTCAAGTGGGTTGGAGGCATAGTTCACAGACCCAGATAAACTAGTGCCTGCCTCAGTCCCAGTGCTGCTCAGAAGGAAGCCAGTAAACAATCAGCAGTCCCCAGATATAAACAAACTTGATCTAGCAATACAGGAAAAATCCAGATCAAAACACCACAACCAACAGAGGTTTTTGTTTGTTTGTTGTTGATTTTTTAGACAGGGTCTCCCTATGTAGTGGAGACTGACCTAGAACTATGTAGCCCAGGCTGGTTTCAAACTTACAGCAATCCTCCTGCCTCGGCCTCCCGAGTGCTGGGATTACAGGCATGTGCCAAAACACCCGGCTCAGACATAGGGGTGTACACCTGTAATTCTAGCATTCTTGGAGGCCGAGACAGAAAGACTTCAACCCCAACCTGGACAATTTAGTATTTAGTGAGAGCCTGTCTCAAAATAAAATTTTTATAATGTAAAGGGCTCAGGATGTAGCTCAGTGAGAAAGCCCTGAGTTTGATTCCCAGTACTGCAAAATAATCACATCTATAGCCATAAGAAAGGAGCAAAGATAGTATACAATACACCACAACATTAAAGATAAGTAAAACATCATAACAAAGCAAGGAAAAGGAATCGAAGAACCGATGTGGAAAAGCAAAAACATTAGAAGATAAAATTCGATCATCAGACAAGAAAATCAGAACAGTAAAGCATTGTTGTATTTTTAAAATTAAAAGTGTGAAGGGCCAGGGATTTAGCTCAGTGGTTCCACCGCCTGCCTCGCAAGAGCAAGGACCCAAATTCGATCCCAGGTACAAATAAATAAATACATAAAAGAGAAAGTGTGTGTGGGGGGATGAGAAACGTAAGAAAGAAAATTAAAAAGCTGACAGATGAGGAAAAGAAAGCGGGGGTGGGGGCAGAAAACCAAAGACCTGGGAATCCCTCCTGGACAGGTGTCGCGAGGCGCGACGTCAGGATCCTGCCAGCAGGTCCTAAACCTGAAAGGACGAGGACGGAGAGACGGGAAGCACTTCTCTTCTCAAGTTCCTTGCTTGCTTTATTACAGAACCTCTTCCTTTTATACTCTCCAGCTGCACGGGAGCGAGGGCTGCACGGGAGCGAGAGTACCGCCCACACATTCCAGAGGGAAACAACAACAACCATTATGGGTTACATCTGCTACCAGCTGAACTCGCCCGTGGCTATGGGCGAGAGCCGGCGAGGTGACTCAAAGGTCAATCATGGCTAGGCCTGTGTCAAGGCTCACCATAATGGCTCGCCATAATTCCCCCATCTCTCTTTGATAGCATGAAGAATGCTAGCAATAGGCCGTTCATCATGCATCAGCCATGGGACCTCTGTCTTAGGCGGCAGAAGTCTGACAGGGAGGTGGACAACGAAAGCCGCCGCAGACAGGCGCTCTGCGGGGCAGGCTTCTTTGGGTTAGAGAAACGCAGCTTCTCCAAACTCCCTCCCGCCACGCACGCAGCAGCACCGCGGCCTCTCCGCGCCCCTCGGCGGCCGCGCGGACAGAGCGGGAGGAGCCCACGGTGCCGGCTGGGACCCCGGCCCTGCCCTCGGGGAGGCGGAGATCTGTGCGACGCCGTGAAGACGCCTCCCGTCCCGTCCCTTCCCCTCCTCGGATTTGGTCGGCGGCGAGCAAAGGAACCGAAGTGGCCGGAAACAAAAGCACGGGTCGCACCGGGCACGGGCGGACTCGGCGAGCCAGGTCCCTCCGCCCGGACGCCTTCCGGAAGACACGGCGATCAAAGGCCACAGACCACGACGCCGAGGCCGGAAACCGGGGAGCTACTGACACCTAGCGGGCGGAGGCCAGAACGCAGCCCTACGCCAAACCAGGCACAGTACGGTCCTCGCCCTGGGTCCGGTCCCAGGCGACCTGAAAAATAATGCAAGTGGGAAGGACATTATTGCTTTCTCCACATGAGTGGCTTAGGGCAAGAAGACGATGGTCGCGACTGCTGCTGTCCTGTGAGGCTCCACAACACGGTTACTCTAGGAGAGGCTGCTGGAGTCATTTCCTGGAGGACGGGCGCTCACTGAGGTGAGACGCGTGCTCCGTGGGCAGCCTGGAGAAGTGTGCAGGGGCAGGACGCCCTGAAGGCTCCGGTAACAGTGCTCAGGTGCGCTGTCTCCCGGGGCGGAGGGTGCAGGCACAGTCACTTTGCTGGTTGTCTCAGGTACCTTTGGGGGTCATGACACACGGGTCTAGGTGTGGAGGTGTGTGCTGTGTCACGAGTGCTGGAAACCAAGGGGCACGCCACAATGTAAGTAGCGGTGTACATAGTAGTGACCCCTTTGGACAAATGTCCAGCTCCTTCAAATGTTTAACAGTTGGGATTACATGTGGCACACACCTGTGATCGCAGCACTTGGGAGGCTGAGGCGAGATCACCATGATTTGGAAGCCGCCATGGGCTACATAGTGAGTTCAAGGCCAGCCTGAACTACATAGCATGACCCTGTCTAGGAAAAAAAAAAGTTAAACATAAGGTCACAATGCAGCTGGACCGTTCCATTCAAGCATATACCGAGCGAATTTTTGGAGGCTCGTTTTGTTTTTGTGGCAGGGCTTGATAACAACTGACTCTCTTAGTTACTTTCTCATGACTGAGCTACACTGCTGACACCCACAAGTTAGAGCAGGTAAGTTTATTTTGGCTCACGGTTTGTAGAGGTCTCAGTCCACCGTGGGCTGGCTCTATGGCAGGGGCACGGAAGGCAGGAAGTAGCAAGACTTCCTTCTTTTTTCTTTTCCCATCCAGGCAACAAGCCTATTGGTTGGAGCCACCCACACCCAGGGTAGGGCCTCCCTCTTCAGGAAATCCACCATCCACAGAGAACAACCCACTATCACACACCCATGACCCAGCTACCTCCCAAAGGCCCCACCATCCGCTCATGAGGCTTTGAGGGGACATCTAGATACAAGCCATAATGATGATTGTGCCCATTATGTATTTCTGATAAACTGAGCTGGTGCTTTGGGGTGACTTGCACATTTCTTGTTCAATTTGCTCCATTTGATGATGTGGATTGCTATTGTCGCGCTTTTTAATGCAAGCACGCCCTCTTGTGCCCGTGTAATGAACTACAACCCAATTAACCACGGGGAAAATTCGGTAACTGACTGAGGCCGCCCTGTGCTGGTGATTAGTTCCATCTCATCTACTTTGCAGCCCAGAAATGGGCAGGCCCACTTATATCAGTGGTTCTAAGCCACAGGTGATTTGGCCCTCAGGAGACAATTGGCAATGCCTGGGGACCACGTTGGTTATCACACCTGGAGGGTGATCACTACTGGTAAGAGTATCTAGCGTGGATAGGACTGGGGTGCTGCTAACCACCCTACAATGCACAGACCAGCCCCCCCACAGCCAAGAAGGGCCCAGCCCTGATACTGAGTCCAGTCCATCACCTCGGCTCCCCTGGGGCATCCCTGACCGTTAAAGTGAGCACATGACAAAGGACCCCATCAGGCTGAAATAAACAGAAGTGCCTTCTCTCCCTTGCTTGTTACAGTTCATATCTAAGATGTCTCCCAAAGCTTCATGCACTCCAGGTGGGGCCTTGGGAGTGCCCAGGTCAGGAGCGTGTGAAGTGGATTAGTCTGCCAGTTGGTCCAGCGTAGTTCTGGGTGTGGACAGCGCCATCCAATAAGCCGCAGTGGGGGCTCTGGCACCAACCTCGCTTTCTCTCCGTGATTAACCACCCACGAAGCATCTTCCGTGTTGGGTTCTCAACCTGTTTATTGCTCTGCCCCAAGTTCCTCTCTGCTCGTATTTTTTTTTCTTCTCTCGTCTCTTCTAAGGGTGCGGCTAGGTCTGCATCACCCCAAAGTCTTCCTGGCTGATAGAAATCAGCATTTGTGGTACTTGGGGTTCTCACTTCAGGAAAGGAAGCAGATGTTGGTTGAGGTTTGTGGTTAGGATCAGCCACATTTCACACATCCACAAAAACGATAAATCCCCGCGTGATCAGCTGCTCTGCTGACCTGGCTTCACCCCGAACTAAGCACCAACTCCAGACTGTGGCTGTGGGAGGACATGAGTTCAACTCCTCTCTACTAAGACACAAGTAAAATGCAAGAGGTGACCGACACACTACAGTGAACGTTTATGCAAAAGAATGATTACAGTAAAAGACACATTGCCTTAATTTCACCCAAAACCCTCCTCCTCACTTTGAAACTAATCCCATGGTCCTTGCCACTTTCTGATGTGGCTCTGAAAGTCCACTTCCCAGAGTGGCTTTACAAGGTGTGATCAAAAGTACGGTGAATGCTGCTGCAGGGCACCACACAACAGAAACACTGTCCTCACTCGCCCTATTCACTGAATCTGGCACCATTGTGACATCCGGCTCTTCCCCAGAGCCAAACCGACCACGAAAGGCAAATGTTTTAAACCAACTCAGGACATCAAGGCAGCCAGTAGAAGCGTTCCTGAAACTTGTCCTTCCATGTCCCCAGTGCAAAATACACACATTTAGACAGAGGGTAGACATAGAAAATAGGAAAAATAGGCGAGGTGACAGATAGACAACAGAGAGCTATAAAAGACGGACTGACAGATAAGCGGGGACGGACAGACAGGTACTCTCTTGCTGTGGTGGGCTGGCTCTTAGCACGTCCACACGATTCCCACCTCCTGGAATAGTCCTCTCTTTTTCTGGTACCGGGGATCAAACTCTGGTCCTTGTGTGCTTGCAAAATAGCCCCATTTTTTTTAGCTGGGCCTGACACTTGGTCCTAACCGGTGGAATACAGCAAGTAATTCACACGGTCGTTGTGTGACTTGGTTTCCCCTAGGTGACTGTCAGCTGGATGCTCCTGGGGCAGCTGCCTCATAGTTGTTGGATGTCAGATGCCACCTCCCATGCCTGCTCTGGGGTCAGAAGCAGTCCTAGGCCTCCCAGGACACTCACAGGGAGAGGACAACAGGGGGCAGGAGCACAGGGAGGTGCCCATCACTGGGGGAGAATAGGAAGCTTCCTGCCGGTCAGCTCACCCCAAAACACCCTCGGCCACTCTGGTCTGATGTGGCAACAGAAAATGAGCACAATTCACAAAAGCTAAACCCCGAAGTGGCCTGCATGTCCATCGACAGGAGTGCACAGAGAGAATGTGGCATTTACATTCTGTGGAGTACTACTCTGCCGTAAAGAAGGGTGCGAGGCACCTGTGGGGAAGGGGTGCAACTGGAGACCACATTAAGTGAAACATCGGACGCGGGCTTAAACATCACACTGTTCCACTCATTTAATAAACCAGACAAAATATAATAGGAAGATCTTTTGCAAGGGGGAAGGGCACCAGGAGTTGGACGGAGGGCTGGAAGGGAGGACAAGATGGAAGAACGAAGAGGTGTGTGTCCGTGCATAGCCGCCCTGTGAGGAATGTGATCATTCTGTCCTGCAACACGTACTAATTTTTTTAATGAAAAAAAAGAGAGAAAGAAAATGAGCTGCATTTATAAAGCTCCAGGCAGCCGTCCAAGGCCCCTCCCTGGCACCATGACAGCCAGTGGCCCCGCGTCCAGCGGTCCGTGCTGTGCTCAGGACGCTGCCCAGCACCCGCTCCCGGCAGCCAGGCGCCTCTTCATCCTGGCTACTCAACGCTCTGGAGCAGCCCTTCGCGGCCCAGGCAGGAGCCCCCTGCCCTCGCCCTGGCCCTCGCCCTCACCCTCGCCCTGCGGCTCCCATCTCCAGTCTGGAAGGCTGCATGGGCTGCCTTGGCGCTGTCTAAGTCAGTGTCCTAGCTCCCAAGAGTAGGTACCCTGGGTGTGCGCGCCTCTCACTTCCCCACAACCCGTGACTCAGGGAGGTTTGCGGTTTTTATTATCAAGGAGCACAATGGAGAGCCTGAGGCTAAAATTACCACAGGAACGGGAGGGAAGGAGGCATCCCAGGTGATCACAGTCCACGCCGTCCTCCGCGACACAGTGACAGGCCAGGGTCTGTGACAGCCCTCCTTGGTGGAAGCCAGCACCGTGGCCGGGCTCTGGCAGAGGCCCTCAGTAAACTGTGAACTGCAAGAAGGCAGCGGTGCCCCCACCCAGGCCCAAGAGGCACTCGTTACAGTGCACGCTGTACAGTGGCAGGCCCAGGCTCCAGGACACAGGCACACCCGGCCCCAGTCCCGTAAGTCAGGTGCCCGCCTATAGTCCACTCTGCACCTACAGCTACCAGAGATGGCGCCAACACGGCCACTGGAGGACCCTTAAGTTCACGTGCACCACACCGCCCCTAGACAGGCATGGTAGTCCTGAGGCCAACACTGGCCCTAGAGGAAGGTGGTCCCTGGTCTTGAGGCTCAAGAGATCCATTCTGAGCCCTAGTGGGTAAAAAAGGCATGGCTGTCAGCATCCTTGATCTTGCAGCTCTGTCCTGGAAAACCTGTCCCAGAGGTTACCTGGGGCATGACTGTCCCTTCGCAGGGGACTTGTGGGACATGTCCAAACCCACTAGGCGAGCACTTTCAGCCCAAAGCCTCTGGGCTACCTCCTCATCCTCAGCCTCGGGGGCTGGTGCCACCTCTTTGAGTCCATCGAAGTACTTTCCAGAAACACCTTGCAGCTCCTCCGCCACAGCCAGGTAGGTGCTGGGCTGGGCCGCCAGCTGGGGGCTCTTGACTAGCAGCCAGAAGACAGGCCCTGCAATGAGCCCAGAGACTTCAGTCCACACACACCCCGGAGGATACAGAGCCCAGCTCCACCCTCTAGGAGACCCACCCCGGGGGCCAGAAGCCGCCCGCATGGCCTTCACCCCGTGGTTTCCTCCACCAGGCAGAGCCTTCCACACGCAGGGACCGGCCCAAAGGCTGCCTCCCCCAGGAAGCCTGCCTGGCTTTCCCCAGGGAAGTGGAAGCCCTTACTCCTCCAGTCAGGCCAAGACCCCATCTACCCCATCTGTCCTTAAAATAAAATTTTACTTATTGAATCCACCTGGTCGCAGTCACAGCTTATTATTCTTGTTTTTTTTTTTTTTTTTTTTTTTT